AAAAAAAGATCATTTAGTTTACGTGCATTCCGGAGTGAAGCACTCGCAAAAACAACAAAGTAGAGGAAATTGTTTGCTTATAACTGTTTACACAGCGCATATCACAATAAAGGTTGACGCGATATGTTCTTTCATCTTTGTTATTGAAATTAAACCTAATCTACTTTGAAACTTTGCATTCACTCAAAGGCACAAACTATTTAGCCGCAAACATAACAGATGAAGAAAGCAGAAAGCTATGGAAGTCTTCGGAAAGTTGAAACTTTTTCAACTAATTTTACTGGGTTGCAGCGCTCTTGGTTTTCGCAACAATCCTTCCGTTTTGTGGGATTCAAACAACCCCATGTAAGTTACTTCATAGAGTTATATTAGGTACTGAATTTTAGCAGATCTATTTTAGTTCGTGCTGTTAGTCGCTGTTTTAAAGAGTTTTTGACAAATTCACAGCATAGACCAAGAATGATAAAGAATCGAGTGACTTACGTTGAAGTTTTACATTGCATAATTTGGCGGGGAAGTTTACAGAGACGCACTGGAATTCAAAACTTAAAAAGCCATGGTTATCCAAAGAGATGTTTATTTTAAACATCTGAACTGTGTAATGGCAACACTTTGAAGGAAAAACAAAATCAGTCGTCAGTTAAAAATCAGTTTGTTTATTTCTCAGTTTTCCGGCAATAACACTGACTGGACTCGATCAAAGTGACTCCGACTTAATTTTCATTATGTTTGGTCTTTTGATCACAGAAAGGTTATAAGTCGACCACAGTTTGCCAGTAGTTGTCAGAGAGAATTTCGGTCAACACTTCGGACGTTTCAAGACACTAACCAACAATTCAGCCAATTTCAAGAATGCAGTTATTTATGCTTTTAATCGCTCCCTGCAGGATTAGAAAAAGTGAATCAGTCTTTAATACCATCTAACCGAATTTAAAAGTAAACGTATTACATTGTTTTAAACAACATTGCTCTGACCATGTAAAATATGTCAACAGCTTTCAAAACCAGTCTCAGCAGTCGGGGAAGCAACTTCATGAAGGGCAAAGACCCCCTCGCCAAGGGTCGGAACAAAGAGATCAACTTCAGTTCTTTTAGTCTATTAAACTTAAATATACTTTAGACTTTTCTCGGTCACGGACAAGTTTGCATCCGGCGCCTAATTGGTACATCTGCACATTCCCGGATTTTAAGCGAGCGAACTTAAAATACTCGTGTACCAAAACAAGTATTATTTTTCTAACCCTGTGTTCAGATTAAAAAGACAATTTGTTTGTTCAGATCAGGGTCACATTTTATGTCTACGTGTTAAATGTACACGATTCCCTCATTGTATAGATTTATTAAGTCTTTTTCATTGTAGATGAAGCAGAAAGTGAAAAACCTGTCTTCCATGAGTGCGATCGCTGTGAAAGCAAACGGGAAAAAAATCTTTATTGCAAGTTGAAATCTTTTCCAGCAATTCCAAGTCAAACGCCAAACGAAAATATTCCACTCTTTATAATTTGTACCGCAAACGAAAACGAGCTGTAATACCAATGTTTACCACGGAATTGTGCTAATTATTAAAACAGAAAAATGAAGTAACCATAGAGAGAAATGCTGAGGCGATTCACAACCTCCGTTCCCTACAAAAATATCATAGCAAGCATGCAAAATTTAGTCTCGAACCTTTCCAAAGGGGTTCACGTTACTTGCCATTGAAAAACCTTCAAGAAGAACGCGTCATCGTAGATTACACCTTTGTGTTAGAACACGTCATGAGATTTGTTGTGGAATAAAACGGAATTTTAATCACTAGTCTTTTCTTAACAGAAATAGAATGCGCGACCTTCGTATTTTATTCTTTCTTTTACATTTCGTATTGACGACTTCACACTATATTTATCCTTCAATTCACTGGACACGTCTTAATCCAATGTAAGTAATCTGATGTTATATTTTTTGCTCGATAAAATTCGATGCTTTGCTCGGTTGATTCAGCTTTCTTTGTCCCTCGAGTTGTATAATTGAGATAGCATTTTATTACGCTAAAAACCACTTTAAATTTTCGTTTAACATATCGAATGTTTTTATATTTAATAGCTCTTTTTATTTATTTATTTATTTTTTGATTGGAATTGCATAGAAGTTATTCATCTGGTTCGAGAAGTCCTTTATAAAACAGTGCAGTATTGTTCCAAGCCGAATCAAATTCACAACTTTTTTTTTATGTCGTTGCCGATCTATGGAATAACTAGGGATTGTGTAGTATCGAACAAATCCTCCGTTCTTCTTTTGTTACTAAACCTCTGACCGAGTTCAAGTTCTTCGTTACATTGAACGACTGCTCGCAAATCTCGAAAACCTAACTGATCAAAGCTGTGAGAGCTTTGATTAGTTTTCGAGATTTGCGTTAAGGAACACTGCAGGATTTCTTACCAGATACTAGTGCGGCTTTACAGCTTAAACACTTCGAAAACTCTCTGCCAAACTGCGGTCATAGGCAAAACTAAAAGATGGTGACATCAACGTAAACAATTCAGGGGGAGACACGCAATATGTCAGTTTCTACTAGTGATCGTAAACAAGGACTCATTTTCTCAAGGACTTGCGAAGATATCCTAGAGTCGTGGATCTGCTTATGCATTAATTAAGAGCGCGAGTTGACTGAAGTTTCAAGAGATTGCGGGCTATCCGCAACGCGTCCGTTTCACTTAAGAATCAAGGCCTGAACTCATTGATCTTGGCCATATATCGAAACAAATCACAGCGCAACTTTGGCCTTTAAATGTCCCACTCTGCAATCGATACATAACCGAACAGCTCGTTTGCCGCCATAACTGCGCCGGAGAACTGTTTGTAAGTTTTTAACTACGCCATTCTGCAAAGTTTTCCCGTTGCAAAATGACCTCAGAAACATTGAACAATTTTTCCAGAAGAGCTATTGTTTTGAAATAAGGATGATAAATGCCACGATCGTTCTTTCCGTCGCTTAA